CCCCGAGCCAATGGCGTAATCACAACCCCTGTGGCCCTAGGGGTGCCCGGGTACTGTGTGGCGATAAATAGACGCCGAGGAAAGCACCCGTTACCAAAGACTAACAATACTTGTTGATCGTATAGACAGTATCGTGATTCATCAGTGACTAACATGCGACTCCACTCTTCCACATATAATTATGTAATATATAATATAATTTCATATTCGTACGTGATCCAACGCTGTGAGCGATGATTCAATGCTGGCACTCTCGCACGATTTCTTAAATATCAATTGGATTCCCGAAATCTTCGGCAGAAGTTCATCGTAGATTTGACGTGCTAGTACTGTCGGGTTACGCGATACGTTTCGTACTACGGTTCTGTTTTGTCATTTCTGCTGTCACGATGTCTGCTCTTGCTGTGTTCAGAAACTTTGCATATCTTGATATCGAGAGTTTTTATGATCGGCTCACAACGGACTCGCTACAACGTCTACGTACATCATCGTACGTACGTCGCATGTACACACCTTAAAACGTAACACACGTTAATTGTTATTTTCTTGGTGTAAGATAACAATTTGGGGCGACTTGTGCCTCTGTCATTGCACTTCGCGGCATTACAAAATTTTCGTTGGTACTATATTTCAATACTCGATTACGAATACCGAAACTAACGGGGATCCCAAGAATCTAGAATTATAAGATACTTTCAGAGGGCTCGATATCTTCGAATTCTCTCTCTAATAAAAATCTGCAATTTTATGATTTCAAACGGATCTGAACTTACGTCACTCTACAGAGCGCTCCAAGGTCAAAAATCTTGGTATAAATGCATGTGTAAAATTGCGGGAAGTTCAGTTTTCCGTTTTTGCAGTATTTGAAATAGGAAATTGCATTATACGAAGAATTTCAAGCTAGATTTTCTATAACACCTTACTGTATTCTGTGCAACAAGTTTTCGATTTACATAAATTTCCAAATCATTTTCTACTATTGTCTAAATATGTAATCACATAAAAGCAATAGCAGTAAATTTTATTTTAAATTTTATTTTCATTTATTAACAACTTTTTGGACAATTGCTTCACGGATAGCAACGAGAGTTGAAAAATAAGAGCCAGGTAAGTTCGAATCACGAATATTTCAATGGCTTTCGCTAATTTACTATCTCTTTAAATAATGGTTTTTGATCAGTATCAGTTCGATAATAGTTAATAAATAATTTAAGACAAGTACTGCGTTATAACGTGTTGTATTATGTTTCTTCCAATGACTTCCACGACATTTAAATCTTCATTACTAATTATTTTTATTATTTTTCGTTTTCAACAAATATCGATCTATTACGATCCTTTAAAATAATTTGCATAACTGAGTGATTAAAACATAAATATGGAAAATCGACAAATAGTGATTAAATGCTATTTTTGCTAAATTTCATCCCTTAACTAACAATATATGAAAACAACTTGAAATATGCTTGGTAGTTTAGAATAAATATATATATATGTATGCATAACATAAGAAAAATTTCTCAAATAATATATTCATATCTTGATAAATAATATTTTAAATGCTGAAAATAACAATTGAATGATTATAAGTGCACATAGTTACTAATTTTAATTAATATTCAAATTTTAAAAAGCACTTATCACTTGCAATTACTATACAATGCAGTAGTGAGATGTAAACTTTATATATTAATAGTGACAATTTTTTTCGGAAATTAATACTTGTTTAATAGAAGCTGTTTAATACTATTAAAATATACTACTACAAAATATACTTATGGAAACTCTTGAGTTAAGACTGCTATTCTCTAATATTCTTCGGTACAATTCAGGAAAGCTATTTTTTAAACTGCTTTAAACACTCATTGTTAGTGGCGATTTTAATTCAGAAGTGAAATGGTAGATATCATTTATATTATACCTATGGTATAGACTGCAACCAGTAGCAGTGTATATAATGTTAGTTTTAATATTTAATTCCTTTAAATTGTGCAACTTTATTATACAATTTTGCTTCTTTGTACTACTTAGTCATTAATTTCTTTCTTGATTTATTTACCCTGGCACTCCTCTATTCTCTTTGTCATATCATTAAAAATATAAATTACAACTAAAGTTATGTATACTTTACGTGTACTGTTCTTGTATACTTTTATACTTTGTATACTATATATTTTAAATCTTTGACAGACATGTTCGAGATCATGCCATATCTACTAACAAAGAAAATGAATGTTTCTAAAAAATGCTAGCTACTATCTTAATCCTACTATCATTATGGAATTTTTATATTTCAATCCTGCCCTCATTTTAGTAAACAAATAAAAATTTGTAATGTCTTAAGAAGCTGTTTAATATGCAACTGAAACAAGAAATTATGTATATTAATAAGAATTTCCATATCTTGTTCAATTTGTTTTTATTTTTGAAACGTTGAAAAATTGGGTCGATAATGACAAAGAAACATAGCAGAGTTAATGTATCATGCAACTGTACATTTTCCACATAGATCAAATTCATTGAAATATAATCGTATTTGGTATTATTTTCGTTGGCAAACCGTTAGGAATTTGTTTATAATAATGCCATAATTATAAAATAAAAAATATAAAAATTTTGTTTTACTAAATTTGATAATTCATTACTAACTAGAATATCGACAATGGTGAATAAGAGATAACATAAACGCTTGCTTCCTCAATAGTGTCTGGAAATGATAAAAATGCATCCAGTATCAGGAAATGTACCTACTGATAAAACAATACTGATAAAACAATTATGGAGAAACTATACAAAATTGAAGCATTTATCACAACAATTGTTACAATTGTGGGAAAAAGCCTATTATTGTAACTAAAAAATACATACATAGACAAGAGATATATATATATATAATAATATATGTATATCTAAAAAAGTTTAAATTTTGTCGTACAGTACTTTTGAATTCTTTTTGTTTCTTTATAGTACGTATATGCTAATATTTACATCTAACCGAACTCTTTTCTATTAATATTATTTACATCATTGCCATTTATTAATTATATTTACCATTTACTAAACTAAATTTACCGTTTACTAAACAATTGCACTCCTCGTGTTTCACGATATAGACAGATATAGATTGCATTATTATTAAATTCTATTACCTCATAAATATTAGAAATAAATCTTTAAATTCTTCTGTTTGCTTGATAAAAAATCCCATTAAAATTAATAAGTGATATTATAAGATTCCTTTGTTACTTTCATAAACAGAATAGATGTTAAAATAGCTAATAATATATTATTTTTAATACTTACCTAACGGTAATGTATCTTGAGGGAATCGCTGATGCATATTGATAGCTTCTTTTACCAAATCAATTAATTCATCTTTGTCATATAAAATTTTTAAATATTCTGTATAAAATTTTTGTTGGTCAGTTGCATCAAGATCATTAATTGTAGATTTAAAAACACTTTCTAATAAATTTTGATATTTATTTAGATTGTAAAAATTATCTAATAGCAGCCATCCAAGCGTTTTATCGATGACCTTAATTTTGTTATCATCCAAATTCTTCCTTAATTCAATTAAATGTTCAATACATTGAGTTATAGTCGTAACATCCTTAAGTTGAGTAAAAAGTTTTGAGATTCTACTCATAATATTTGTAAACTTAGAGTCACTGAAAATAAATTACTGAATAAGTTTTACAAACCTATAACATTTATGAAGTATATAGCAATTTTATACCTTTCTATTTCCAAAAGCTTGCAGTAAGCTAATAATAGTTGGTTATAACATTCATTATTGTCCAAGTTTTTTTCATAGTAAGATACTAAACCGTACCAAGCTAATGGATTGTCTGCTTGGATTTTTGTACCTTTTTGGAGAATTAATGGTACTTGTGGTTTATACTCATCAATTTCTTTCATTGCAGCCGCCAATAACATAAGTGCGCTATAATTATTTTGATCTCTCATTAATATCTTGTTACATTTCTTAATCACATCTATATACTTCTTTTCTCTAAATGTATCACGAGCCGCTTTAAGAGCTACTTTTATTTCATTTGACATTTTCACATAAAACTTTGACAAAATAAAATACGTCCAGAACTTAAATCGAATATATACAATTTGACAAAATAAAATACGTCCAGAACTTAAATCGAATATATACAATTCGACTATAATACAGACTTTATATCGATACATTCAATTAAATATTTTCTTAAGTATATCAATATGTATGTCGTTAGGTTTATTCGTGATCAAATACAATACTATAACTTGTAATACACATTATTCAAAAATCCTCTATCTTTAAATCGTAAACTTTTTCTTTTATATCTTCAAAATATTTACTTTACATATCCTCAGATATTATAACTTTGATATATACATATATATACATGCATATATATACATGAGAACGCTCCCGCTTATGGATCTAGTTATTTCCGGACTGGTGCTGCTCCGTGCGGTCAAATACTGAGTTTAATTGAAAATAGCATTTCAAGAACCTACAAAATTAGGGATCTGTCCTGTTTGGTTGGAACTTAGCATATACAAGAACCTATGTATTTAAGCTTAAAGTTAGGAATCTGCCCTGTTTGGTAACACAATAGCATAGGCGAGAACCTATTGAGTTTCAAGCTACAAGAACCTATTTAAGTGTACGGTTCTATGAAAAAGTTCATACCTACTATTCTATCCGAGATAGACAAATATAAGAATGACAGAATCGTGCAATACCGAAACAGATTACAAGTTGCCTAAGAAACAGAAATTAATCGTTTATTATATATTTTTTTTAGGGGAGAAAAGGGAATATTCCCTTTCAAACGATTATGGATTAATGGAATGATGCAATAATTCTAATAAATTTTCCATACATCATTTAGATTTAACATTAACTTTTAGCATTCGGCATGTCATCTGTACCAGCATGAACATTTTTTCATTTCGCATGGAACTACACTTTCTTCTGTAGTACGTACGATGGCGTTTGTTGAGACAAATTTAACAACTTTGCATATGAGGTCATTTAAGTTATTTAAGTTGATCGACATCTGTTGTAAGATGTTATAAATTCGTCAGTTCCTAAAGAATCAATTGAGTCAGGGTCGCTGGCTAGTGGCTAGAGACAAATATTTTGAATTTCTTATTTTCCATGACGCTTCTCAAATTATCAAACATTACCGAATGCTGAAAATTCATTTTAGTCGATATACTTTAGTCTTTCTTAAATTATTGTTCATCTATTATCACTTTATGAAACGAAAGAACCTTTTCGAACAACCTAATATTGCAAATTCGTCCACTCGTTCTTCTATCAGTCAACCCCAACAGTAATGACTGAATGCAATGTATATTACCGAAAATTTTTTTATTAATATCTCGGAAACTAATAAATAGCTGAAATAAGATTTTGTATTTGGGGACCCCAAACTTTTTTCTATTTTTTTGCATAATCTAACAACTGTTGACAAAAAACGCAACTAAAAAAAGGTTTTTCTTTTGTCCAACTAAAAGAGGTACATTCTAATCTCAGTAGAGATTTATCATAAGATAAGTTATCATAACATAAATAATGAAGGATAACATATCAGAGATAACTGATCGGTATAAAGTTTCATCTATCACACCTTCAGCTCATACAAAATCACCAACAACAAAAACCAAACGGTAAGCAACTTCCGTATTTCTACCTCTATTATATGAATATTTGAAATATAAATTTGGGGTGAATTTAACAATCGCGCATTAACAATATTCTGTTATTTTTTTATCGAAACTGAAATACTTACATAGAAGTAATCCTAATGTGTTATACCCGTTAGGATCCAACGTAGATTCGAGGAGAAAGGTAAGTTCGGGAGCGTTGGAAGAGTATTAAATGAGAAGAGAGAGATATCTTATATGACTCGTGCATTCAGATGGTCACACCGATGATTTTGTACTGAAACTTATTATAATGGCGGTTTATAAGAATTTTATCGAATCGTTATTAATTAATAAGTAATTAATTAATTCATTTTATAAACAAATAGGGATGACCATGTTTGTTCACTTTTCGAGGCACCTCGCAGTAGCCTCGCCCCACGTGTTACTGACATGGACATTCCTAAATGGTACATTCGAACAGATGTCACAACCTTAATAATTTCTGTAACTATACATAAAGAATATGTTCTAAATATTATAGAATGTTCAAGCAAGTCTACGAGTCTTTCTCATTTTTCCTGTCTATTATAGAACATAGGTGAAAGAGAATTGATTCCTCATACAGAAGTGAAGAACGCTAGAATACAAAACACCAAAACAATTGTAATGGCAGAAACAACAAATTCGCAGCAACAAAGCAGTGCGGCGAAAACTACGGATGAATCATCACAAAGCCTTGAACAAAATCAGAGTGTACCGGAAATGGATACAGAGATATCTTCGCAGGCTTGTAAATGCAAAGCGGGATGCTCTACCCAGCACTGTCCCTGCTCAAAAGCTAATATTAAGTGTGGACAACGGTGCAAATGCATCAAATGCAAATGTAAAAATCAGGTACACGAATCTCCTTCTTCTTCTCCTCTTTCTAATTCACGACACCCCCAACGCTAATTTGGATACCAATCTCTTTAGGAAGAAACGGCAGATTCGCAGAAACAAAGCAATGAAGCACAAATTGTGGGTGAATCGTCAAAAAGCGATTCAGAAAACCAGAGTACCGCGCATTTAGAAGCAGAGAAATCTTCGCAGGCTTGTAAATGCAAAGCGGGATGCTTTACCCAGCACTGTCCCTGCTCAAAAGCTAATATTAAGTGTGGACAACGGTGCAAATGCATCAAATGCAAATGTAAAAATCAGGTACACGAATCTCCTTCTTCTTCTCCTCTTTCTAATTCACGACACCCCCAACGCTAATTTGGATACCAATCTCTTTAGGAAGAAACGGCAGATTCGCAGAAACAAAGCAGTGAAGCACAAATTGTGGGTGAATCGTCAAAAAGCGATTCAGAAAACCAGAGTACCGCGCATTTAGAAGCAGAGAAATCTTCGCAGGCTTGTAAATGCAAAGCGGGATGCTTTACCCAGCACTGTCCCTGCTCAAAAGCTAATATTAAGTGTGGACAACGGTGCAAATGCATCAAATGCAAATGTAAAAATCAGGTACACGAATCTCCTTCTTCTTCTCCTCTTTCTAATTCACGACACCCCCAACGCTAGTTTGGATACTAATCTTTTTAGGAAGAAACGGCAGATTCGCAGAAACAAAGCAGTGAAGCACAAATTGTGGGTGAATCGTCAAAAAGCGATTCAGAAAACCAGAGTACCGCGCATTTAGAAGCAGAGAAATCTTCGCAGGCTTGTAAATGCAAAGCGGGATGCTTTACCCAGCACTGTCCCTGCTCAAAAGCTAATATTAAGTGTGGACAACGGTGCAAATGCATCAAATGCAAATGTAAAAATCAGGTACACGAATCTCCTTCTTCTTCTCCTCTTTCTAATTCACGACACCCCCAACGCTAATTTGGATACCAATCTAATTCACGACACCCC